TCTTGGATACTCGATCAACACTTGATTTTGAAGGATGGTACTGTGATTCTTTACCTATTGGCCGAGCCCTTCATCTCATGATCGTGTGGAAAAGCAGAGCTTTTAGGATGAATGAAGCCCCAAGGATGGATGCTCCCTTACAACCCATAATTTCCTTTCTGTAGCCTGTAGGTCGGGTGATTGTGCCTTGCTGGTTGTGGTCCGATGCCATCGTCTTGTGTGGGCTGGACGTGCCGAGACATTGATCGATAATGGTGAAAACCCTATCTCCCATGTACTCCATATGGGAGCTTCGTGAAGAGGAGAATCGACAAGAGAGAGGCTGACCTCACCCTTACCGATTCACTTTCGTTTTTTTTAATATTCTGATGATAACTTTCTGTTGTCTGTAGGGTCTCAACGCTCGGGATGACCTGCTGAAGATTTTGTTCACGGCGGCAAGCACCAAGGCAATTGCGGGTTCTCATGCCCTCACGGAGATCCCCGAACGTGTGAAGGATCATGAGGACGAGAGAGCCCCACGGCGGGGAGCCTACCTTCCAGTTCGAACTTCGAAGCATGTAAGGCGGCAAACACCCCTATCACGGAAACGGCGGTCAAGGCTTTCCCTCAGGAGTGCACAACAATGTAAGCTGATTGCGACATAGTACTTGGGCGTCAGTCGCCAGTTGATGGTGGCGTAGTACCTGAGAGACGGCCAAGAGTGGACTGACCATGGCGATGACTAAGTTGACTTTCAGATTCTGGGAGAGTTCCTTAAGCTTTCTAGTAATTCTCGTGTCTGGATCATTGTACTTGATGGCCATGAGAACATCCGGCCATGACTGTTGCACCTTTTGTTTTGTAGCTTGTAGCCACCATATGTAAAATTCGAATGAATATTACCTTTTAATTCATATGTTTCCTTTTCTATACTTTGCATTACGAATACTTAGCAATTTATTCGGGGATCTGGCTTCTCTAACCTCCCGGGGGCGGTTAGGCTGGCGTGGCCGAGCCTATCCGTGCCCCTCCTAGTTGGATAGAAGTGATCTGTTCGTTATTGATATGGAATCAACAAGTAAGCGACTTGTTTGGCCAGCGAGGTCGGACATTGAACCGACGAGGAAGACCCTTAGGTCGGTATCCTGAACGTTCATGACCCGGGGGTCAGTCCTACTGTCACTTTAACCCATCCAGTTTGCCCGGACTTGGGGAATAATCTGGTTACTCCCGCATGGATAGCCAAACAACAGGGGCGGACCCTGCATGATCCACCAGAACGAACCTGCACCGCCAAGTCAGGGATGACGAGAGTGCGAGCTGCTTGGCCAGCGATGTTAGGTGGCGAGCACTCGAAAGGACCCGGAGGTCAGCATCCTGAGTACCCTCGACCCGGAGGTCGGCCCTACCATCGCCTCGACTGTCGCGGCTAGCTCTTTACTTTAGAAAATTGCCCGGATTCTTGAAAATCGTTTGGCTATTTTCAGTTAAAGAGCCTGGCCGAGGTCGGCCAAACACCGAGGGGAGGCATGGTACCTTTTTTTTTTGCCGCCGCCCTTTATTGCTAAGTGAGGTCGGACCTCTTTTGAAGACAAAATATCGCTAGCAAAGTATATTGTATTCATGATGTGGGTGGACCACATGAAGAATTACAATATGTAATCCCATGCTCGGAGCACATGAGTTTACAAAGAAAAGTGAAACTTCGATTTTCTACTGGTAAAACTTCATCAGGTGCTCGACATTCCAGACGCGGTCTACCAACCGGCCTGTTGTTGTCTTCAACTTGTATGTCCCAGGGCCGATCACTGCGTCAACCACGTAAGCGCCCTCCCACTTGACGGAGAGCTTACCTCCCTCTGTCGGCCTGCTGGCCTTCCTACGTCTTAGGACATAATCACCGACGTCAAAACTCTGGGGTCTGGCTCAGCTGTCTTGGTACGCCTTGACTCGTCGTCGATAGTTTTCCGCTTTGATGAAGGCACGGTCTCTTCTTTCCTCAATGAGGTGGAGCTCGGCTCGGAGCCTCTCCTCATTGATGGCTGGTTCAAACTCTTCCACTCGTCGGCTGGGAACTACGGCCTCGAACGGTACCCTCGCCTCAAATCCATAACACAAGGCAAAGGGGGTTTCTCCGGTTGCCTTCCTTGGGGTTGTTCTGAAGGTCCAGAGTATATTGTTCAACTCCTCCACCCAGGCAGTCCCGAGGGCCTCCAACTTCGTTTGCAATCCATCGACGATCGTCCGGTTGGTGTTCTACACCTGTCCATTTGCCTGGGGGTAGCAGACCGCAACTCGGCTGGATTCTACGCCCCACTCTGCACAGAATTGCCGGAAGGCTTCGCAGTCAAACTGCCTTCCGTTGTCGGAGATTATTTGGAGGGAAACCCCAAACCGGCAGCACCTTGCCATTCGCTGATCTCCCCTGGCAACTCCGACGCCATTCGGAATGGGAAACTTCATGCATAGGTGCTCCTGGGATATCACACATCTAAGGTCTTCCATGGCCGGCCTTCCCATGATGATCTTATGCGCACAAGTTAGGCGTACGATGATAAACTCGACGTCTAACTTGGATACGCAGGGCTCGGAGCCCACCATCACGGGGAGGACTATGCTGCCCTCCGACTCAATGGAGTCCCCGGTGAAGCCCGAGAGTGGGGTTCTCACCGGGATCAAGTCTTTTCGATCCAGCCCGAGACCTTGGAAGGTGTCATAGTACATGATGTTAACGGAGCTCCCATTGTCCACCAGGACTCGGTGGACGATCGTGTTGTTGATTTCGACCTTAGTGACCAATGCATCCCTGTGCGGCGGAGGCATCGGTGGCAAATCTGCGTCGGTGAAGAAGATGGGGTCCCTCTTCACCCTCTTGTCGGCGGGAGCCCTGGTTATCTTCCCGACGTATAGGGCTCGGGCCCACTGCTTCCGCTCTCCAGAGGTGTCGCCTCCATGGGGTCCCCCGAATATGAATGAACATCGATGGTACTTTCGGGGGCCGTTCCCTAGGTCGGCATCGTCTTCCTCGGAGAAGGCGTCGAGCTCCCGCTTCTTGGCAGGCGGTGTCTCCTTTGACGTGGTAGCTTGGTCAGACCGCTGCCACGTAAGGCTCCTCTTCTGCGGGATGCCTCCTTGTTTGCCAACGAATTGGCCCAGGTACCCTTTCTGGATGAGTTCTTCAATTTGCCGCCGGAGAATGACACAATCATCTGTATCATGCCCTGCTCTTCGATGGAATCGACAATATTGGTCGTTGTTGCGCTTGGCAGTCACCACATCACACTCCTCCGGAAAGTCGACTAAACCTTGCTCCTCCGCATAGTCGAGGATGGCCCCGACTGGCTGAGCAAGTGGAGTCAATTGCTTGACGGGCTGTAGCGGTCCGCTCGGGACGTCCACCTTGCCCTTGCCTCTACTTTTGTTACCTTTGTACTTGTTGTTTTTATTGCTAGCTTTGCCGTCAGCTTTCTCAGCACCCGAACCGGCTTTCTTCTTCTTTTCTTCTTTTGCACCTTCTTCCTCATCTCTTTTCCTCTGCAAGGCGTCCTCCGCCTCGGCTTTCCGGTCGGCACGGCCGAGCGCCTCCTCGTACGAGGTAGGGGGACTTCTGACGAAATCTTTGTAAAGCTCGCCCGATCGGATAGAGTTTGTGAGCATGGCCACCCCGGTCCTGTCATCAAGGCCCTGAACCTTGACTGACTCGGCCCTCCACCTCGCTAGGAAGGTCAGCAATGATTCCTTCTTCCCCTGTTTTAGGCCGAACAGGTGGCTGAAGTTTTTCTTGACGTCTCGGGAGCTCGCGAACCTCAGGAGAAAGCGCTGAGCCAACTCACGGAAATTCGTGATACTCCCGTCGGGTAGAGAGTCATACCATTCACGAGCCGGGCCATCCAAAGTGGCGGAGAAACCGCGGCATCGGATTGCGTCCTCGTACCCCATCATGACCATGTAGGAAAGGTACTGAGATACATGATGATGGTGGTCAGAAGCGCCCTTGTATGCTTCAATGGTGCAGAGCTTGTAGCCCCTCGGCAACGGCACATCAATGACCGCCCGGGTGAAGGGTTCGGGTATCCGGAGGTCGGCCGTGTAGGGCTCCCCCCCGACGACCCTCCTTCTCAACTCGTCAAGGCGCTGTCGTAGATCTTCCACCTCGGCCGGCGGTGGGTTCCCCCGGACAGCTCCAGCGCGGGGCTGGGCATGTCCGGCGGCACCTTCAAGTCGTCCGTGCACGTGAGGTCGGGGCCCCACGTTTTGCCTCTCCGTGGAGCCAGTCCGACTGCTCACCCGGTGAGAGTGGCGAGAGCGCTCGCCTCCTTCCATCTGCGTTGGGCGCCCCTGCTGGGCACCCTTCCACGTCTGCCGATGGGGTCGGCTAGGCTACTGGGAGACTTCTTCCCCCCGCCGATGGGAGACTTCTTCCCCCCGCCGATGGGAGACTTCTTCCCCCCTGTTTTGGTTGGATCCAGAGCGTCGCTCATCACGCCGCCTGGAGGACATCTCCACATCCGCTGGCGTCTGTTGACAGGCAGGCTCATCCACATTTCTGCCAGACACCATCTGTTGGAAATTTTGAGCCAAGGTCCCCAGAACCCGAGTTGCCTCCTGCAGGGCTTCCACCCCGGCATTGAGTCGAGCCGGGTCCATGCGCGGAGTATGACGTCGGCCTCCCCCCGCCGGCTGCGGCCGAGCGCTCACCTTGGGTGTGGTTGAGCGTCGCCCTTAGGTCGTCGTGGCCTGATATTTGGTTCCGAAGGTCGCCTTGGCGCGTCGCCCTCCTGCCCTGTGCATGGTTGTCGAGGGCACGCTGGCGGCCAGACCGGGCGGACTCCTCGGTGTGGACTGAGACATGGTCACGTCGAGACGAGATTCCGGCCATCTTCCTGTGTAATTCCTACTCAAGTTATGTGAGAGACAATAGCGGCTCTCAATGAAAGCACCAATGCTGGTCCAAATCAGGACGCTCGTAGGCTTTTAGGAAAGCTACGTACGACACTCAAGCAAGAATTAGGAAAGTACGAATATGGAAAGTTAGCCAGAAATAGCATATCTCATTTGAAATTCGGACTTGCCTTTTATAGGCGATTACAAATGGTAACTGTCAGAGACACTAATGACTAATTAATTACAACATTAATACAGAATTAAATACATAATTAATAGCGCATTGATTGTTGGCTCTTCCTGGCTGGCAGGTTGGACGCTTGAGCTCCCTCCTGCTGGACTGGACGGTGGGCTTCCCGCTAGGCTGGAGGAAGGCTTCTGACCGGGCTGGAGGCAGGCTCTCGGGTAGGCTGGAAGGCAGGCTCCCCGTTGGGCTGGAGGCAGGCTCCCACCTGGGCTGGACCGCAGGCTCCCAGCTGGGCTGGATCGCAGGCTCCCAGCTGGGCTGGTGGTCGGTAGGCTTCTGGCTAGGCTGGAAGGCAGGCTCCCCACTGGGCTGGAAGGCAGGCTCCCCACTGGACTGGAAGGCAGGCTCCCCGCTGGGCTGGTCGACAGGCTCTCTCGGGCTTCCGCTCCTTGATTGCCCTGATTGGTTGAGTCGACTCAAGCTCTGGGTTGGTGGGCTTGGGCCTGCTGGTCCAAGTTCGGGGTCTGGGCCGATTAGGCTCTGGGTCTGGTCCCATAACCTCATCAGGTACATACCCTAGAGATCTGGCTGGAACGATCCTCTCCTCTGTTCTTGAGGATTGAGGTTTTCCGTTCTTCAAGAGCTGTATGAACTTGAGAATTTCATCAAATTTCTCATCTACACGCTGATTCTGTTGATCGACCTTTTGTTCCAATGCTTTGAGTTGATTTTCCATGGCTGCAACACGACGAGTGGCTGCTGGAGCCAGTGTGGATCAAATCCACAGTAGATCAAAGTTGTATGAGCAGCAGATTGGCTCTGATGCCACTAATGCGGGAGATAAAATAGAGGGGAGAGAAGAGGAGAAATAAAAGGGAGAGAAGAGGATAGAGAATCTGTAATATTTCATATGTCTATTTTCATCACATATACCAGCTATTTATAGTCATTCTTTACATGCCTCTGTAGCATTCTAACAACCTTGCACGGTAAACGAGAGAACTAACGGAATTTTTAAACAAAATAAAAGAGTGGAAATAAAATGGAATAAGACCATAACAGTGTTCAGGCCCCAACTTCTCTGTCCGCTTGTCTGGGAGAAATTTCCGGTTGAGAGTTCCTTGTTTTCCGCCATTAATGGCGGCTTGGAGCTCGGAGATGTATATTCCGCACTCCGGCCAAATTTCCGTCGGAGACTAGCTTCTCTGGCCGCCGTTACTCCGCTGCAGCAAACATCACTACCGTCACTAATAAGCGGCACGTACTGTTTGCTTTTGGTTGGGGAGGGGTGTTTCATCTTCTTCTCCACAGGATGCTCCTCACTTGGCTGAGAGCTGACCACGTACGAAGGGACAAAATCTGAAAGGAGAGATAGCAGTAAAGATGGAGCACCATACATTATTTGGGAAGTCAACGGTCTGCAATTGATTTGTGCAAGCTGCTAGATTGCAAGTAAGCTGCTCAAAGAGTATGGGTCGAAACCTTAGATGAGCCAATCTTTTCAGCCCACCTCAAACTTTGGGTTGGGTGGTGGACATCTTTCGTGTAGACCTCTTTGAGACAATTCTGTAGAGTTGTCTGTGAACAGACAACTCATCTGTCGAGGACAGACGGGTGTACACAGTGGCGGAATTAGGGGGAGCGAGCCGGTGCTGCCGCCCTCGTTCGCCGGAGGTTTTACTGTATATATATGTATATATACATGCTCAGCCATGTCTCAATAATAATATGTAGCACAGATGGTTGAGGAGATTCGGGTTCGATCCTTGCTCAGTCTCCTTTTTTAATTACTTACTCCATTACACTTCTTTCTCTACTTATCTCTTAACCTTTTTTTTCCTACCACATTTCTTTTACTTTTATGTTGCATTTTTATTTTTCAAATTCAAATTATTTACTCCGTATTTTGTACTTTTTCAAATATTAACATGTTATTTACATTTTTGTTTAGTACAACAACAAAAAATGACTTTTAGCTATTGCTTCCCCCTTCAAACATTGACCTATATCATTTTATAAAAAGTTTATCAATATACTTTTCAAAACTACTTGAATTTTATATTTATTCCTTGGGTTAGTACAAATATGCCAAAATTTCTTGTTGGTATTTGAAATATCTGACTTTATATGAGTATAATTAGATTTATGTAATACTTTTGCAAAAAAAAATATCCTTTTAAAAAATAAATAACCTACTTGTAACGCTATTTGAAAAGAGAAAAAAAATATTATTTTCTTGATAAGTTAGTAACTTATATATATACTCCGTATGTTATTAATTTATCTTCCTCTACATGTTTAGCTATATTTCTATTTAAACCTTTTTATTCTAAAATAAAAGGGAAAGCGTATTAAATCGAAATAAACACATTTAATAAATGTAGTCTATTATTTTGTTTAGGCACTAACAAATCAGTTATACAAATGAATAAATGTCAATATTTAAGTTGATGTGTATATGTATGTGTGCGCTTGTGTGTGAATTATATATAGGTACAAATAAAGTGTCACTTCATGCAAATGGGAATAATATTATATAGTAATTTGAGATCGAATTACCATAAATATACATGTTGGGATATTGGGCCGCAGGCCTAATACCCGTATCTAAGGCCCAAAATATCCACTTTGTTAGGCGGGCCCATCATCCAGAAAATGAACCAGCTTTTGGGAAAATATGTACCGAATGAGGTTCGGATCGATTAACATACTTGGGCCAAATCATTAATGAGCCAAATCGTTAATGGGCAAGATCAATAATGACTCCAGATCAGATGTACCGAACGGGGATCGGACTAATAAGCGAACTCGGGCCAAATCAATGATGATTTCAGCAGGATTCACTGCCCGTTCGGGCAGCGGGTAGCCAACAAGTGGCAGGGGGCATTTATTGCTAAAGTATGCCGGCAGCTAGTGGGAGCATGGATTCCAAGTGGCTAGAAAAAGCAACCAATCAACATGAAGTACTCCATACCCCCCATTAGTATAAATAGAAGGATTAGTTTCATTGTAAAGGGTTATCATTTTGATACTCAAGCCTAGAATAACATTATCTCTCTGATTTCTTGTATTAGTTACTATTCCGACATACCGATCGGGTAGTTTACAGTGTAATAGTCAAATTACATAATACAAGTGGGTTTTGAGTGTTTGTTGAGATCATCTTTTATATTTCTTTTACATACCTAATTATCGTCCATTTCCTGATATATCTAAAGTCTGTGTTGGGCTTTCGGATCTATGGTATTAAACTTCAACATTGGCGTCGTCTGTGGGAAACTCTGAACAAAAAGTTTCGCACCAAACAAAAAGCTATTTTCAAAATGGTTAGAATCACTTCTCATCACACCGGAGGAATTTCAGATAGACGTGGGGAAAGCCGGACACCGAAGGGCAATCCAACCGGGGGTCCTACCCACACTTTGATGGGGATTTTTTCATCCCCAAAGCATTAAGAAGGAACTCCCATGCCATGCGAGATTTGGCTCAGGTCATGCAACATATGGCGGATGAGCAGGATGGGGGACAGTTCAGCTACACCGGGAAAACTAGATACACAACCCCATCATTCAATGATGAAACCACTTATGGAGAAACAACCACGACATAAAATCACTCACGAGCCCACCAGGGAGAGCGCACAAGAACTCATGCGACCAGGGGCAGGCATCACACTCCTGGTGACCACACCCAACCGAGTCACGAGCCAGAGGAGATATGCCTGTTGGCCGCCAGTTCCAGTGTGAAGGGCGTAACAATACGAGATTCGGGCAGAGACGTCAGAATCAAAGAACAACTATGCCGGAAGCAAATCGGGAGTTTGTGAACTTGGGAACTCCACCACCGCCTCCCCTAACGGCCCAAGAGGAAGAAATGGCCGAGATGAGGAGGCAGATGAACGAAATGAGGGAACAAATGAACAGAGCCCCTCTACAACCTACTCCTGCTCAGGTCGGAATCACTTCCCTTTTCACCAGGGAAATCATGCAAGTGGAGATCCACAGGGATGCCAAACCGCCGACCGGTCAAATATATGACGGGGCGGGAGATCCCCACGGACACTTGAGGAGTTATCAAGGGGGGCTTATGCTGTTGGGAGCATTGAAGCCGACCATTTGCCAACTTTTCTTCAGCACGCTCAGGGGGCCTGCCCAAGAATGGTTCGGGACCCTGCAGCCCGGATCGATTGGCAGCTTTGCCGAATTGTCAGCTTTATTCCTGGCCCAGTTTGCATCCAGTGCCACTTCGAAGAGATATTTCAGTTACCTGACTAGTATCAGGCAGGGCCTGAAGGAGGCCCTCAATCAATTCCTCAAGAGATGGAGGGATGAGACCCTGAAAGTGGGGACCATGACGGATGATACAGCCATCACCCTATTTACTAATGCTCTCCGCACGGGCGAACTGTATAAGGATCTGAAAAAGAATCCGGGCACATTGTATTCTGAAATGCTGGACAGATCCCGGAAGCATGCGGCTCTGGAAGAAGAAATCCTGATCAGGGATAAGATAGTTGCACCCCCTACTCCAATGAAACTGACTGATCGGCTGGGTCCTACCCCAGCGGCCGCTCCACCTTCAAGAGCGGCACGATTCACTCCTTTGGTCCTTTTAGTAGGAACCATTTATCAGAACAAGAAGGACAACATTCCCCCTCCGACTGACACCAAAGGTTTTATGGGGGCAGATGCAAATGCTTTTTGCAAATATCACAACAGGAACGGTCACTCCACCCACTCATGTCGGGCATTGCAAATAGCCAATGAAAAATTGATCCAGATGGGTCATCTAGGTAAATATGTAAATACGGACCCAAATGCTACGGGTATTCTGAAAGCGGTCAAGAAATCAAACAGCTGGAGGCGAGATGTACAGCATGATGCTCGCCCCAGAAATGATGTATATAACCCTCCCAGAGACGAACCGGAAGGTTCGGGGAATCCAGGTAAAAAGCCCAGGATGGAGGTAAAGGTGATATTTGGGGGTGGGGAGACAGACGTCTCGAACGCCGAACGGAAGAAGTTCGAGCGAAGCCTGTACGTGGGTTCTGTAGTCATGCCATCCCAGAAGAAAGGAAGAACGGGCCCCATCACTTTCGAGCCCACATATTTGCCAAATTCACCAAGTCCACACAGGGATGAGTTGGTTGTAAGTATGTGCATAGATGATGCTTTAATTCACTGGGTGTTGGTCGACATGGGAAGTAGTGTGAACGTATTGTACCTGCAATCGTTCGATAAAATGGGCCTCTAGAAAAATCAGCTGACCCACCTGAGGACACCACTGGCAAGCTTCACCGGGAATTGCATCGAAGCAAAGGGGACAATCCAATTGATGGTTGAAATTGGAGATGAAACACACAGGGCATCGACCCGAATGATGTTCGTAGTAGTGGACATCAAATGTGCCCATAACGCCATTTTGGGCTGACCAGGATCGGAAGATTTGGAGGCAATAGCCTCTGTCCGCCACTCATGTATCAAATTCCCTATGGACACTGGAGTTGGGGTGGCCAGAACAGATCCAACTACAGCCCGAACGTGCTATCGAGAGGCCTTGAAAAACATGAATGCCCGAGGCATGCGGGTTAACAACATTGAAGTCGAAGCCCGCCGAACGGAGTTCGAGGCACATCCTGAGCCTGCCACCCTCCTCGAGCAAATTGACCTAGATTCTCCCCCCGACCGGAAGGTGGCCATCGGGGCGGATCTGGAGGCTGAAATTCGGGAGGGTATAATAATAGTACTAAAAAAGTTTCAGGTATTGTTTGCCCGATGGCCAGAAGATATGTCGGGTATTGACCCGGACATAATTTGCCACAACATGGCCATTCGATCTGATGCAAAGCCTGTTCAGCAAAAAAAAAGATACCAGGCGACCGAACGACGTGATTTTACAAAGCAAGAAGTGGCCACCTTGCTGAGGATAAAACACATCTGACCGATGATCCATGTTGAATGGTTATCCAATTTGGTACTAGCTCCAAAGGGGTCCACCTGGAGAATGTGCGTAGATTATTCCGACTTAAATAAAGCTTTTCCGATGGACCCATATCCGGTGCCGAGGATCGATCTGTTAGTGGATGAGACGGCGGGATGTGAGCTCTTAAGCTTCATGGATGCGTTCCAGGGGTATCATCAAATGTTCATGCACCCGGATGACGTAGAGAAAACAGCGTTTGTAACTTTGGACGGGGTATTTTGCTATGTTTTTATGCCATTCGGGGTTAAAGAATGCAATGGCTACTTTCCAAAGGATGATTGGAATGCTGTTCAAAGAAGTATTGGGGGTCACAATGGAGGCCTTTGTTGATGACATCCTGATCAAAAGCCGGAAAAAGGAGAGCCATGTCTTGGATATAGAAAGGGTGTTCGGGATAATGCAGAAAGAAAACATGGGGTTGAACCCCAAAAAATGTGCCTTTGTCGTTAAGGGGG